CTGCTACGAGTCCCTTTAAAGCACCCTTTACACGGAGCATGTTTTCGTGCATGGTTCTTAGCGGGCCACCTGGCATTGGGGTTCGTAGCAAAGCCTGCCGATAGGAGCTGTGGTTTGATTCTCCATTCACACGAGTCGCGTTGCTCAGCTTGCTGGCTGTATGGGACGGGAAACGAAACGTTCTCCACTGCCGAATTGCTATAGCGAAGTCGTACGCGTTCGATATGCGCGTTCACGTCGCTGGAAGGTCGAGTCACGTGATCGTTTTGAGAATTTTCGTTCGTTCAAGACTTGCAATATGCTCGAAAACATGCATGAAGTATACCAATCGCGTATAGCACACTAGATGCACAGTAGAGATGTGTATACTCTAATCTGATTGCTCGTAATCACACGATAATCGCGCTGCAAGTAGACGGTTCAGTGATTTGAGATTGTGATTACTTTGAAATCATAATCGTAAATAAATGATTGGAAAACATTGAGAGGGGGCTCAATTCGGGTTAAATTATAGTGGAAACCTCGACCTGATAGACTTCAAACAATGACGCATACATACTATGTTTTAAAAATATCAACTTTCGTTTGAATTTCGTTTGCAAGAAAATCCACTTCAAATGTTGATACTCGATCCGTTTAGACTTATTTATTTCAAGCAGAATTATTCGTTTTCGAAGACGTTAAAGTAACCATATATTTTGTGATACATATATAAATAATTCTACGTGAAATAAATATCTAATAGCATGTGTCATTGACAAAACGATTTAGTGGCTGATAAAATATATAAATTGAATATTTTAAATTATTAATATATATAAATTGAATATTGTAGATTGTTAAGCTCAGTATTTTTATACGAATGTCGTAATAATGGAAATGTGGGTCTCAAAGGACCCCGACGAGGTGGATTCGCGTAATTGTTGTGTCAGCGACCGAGCGAATATTAATAAATCTTGTCGACACGATTGACGATAGCGGCAACGCGCGTCAGAGAACCTAGACACGTTAACAGGATCGATTGTTCGCTGATATGTCTTTCTTGCTCTGTTAAACAACTTTCCTCGATGAGCAGGTTCTCTGCTGTTCGATCGATCATGCCCGCGTTATGGCGGCGCGATACGCTTCGTGACGCTGATATCCCGGAGAAAACGATTTCACGGGGAGCAGCGCGCCACTATCTACCCTTTCAGAGCAAATACCTACAGCTTTCCGTTTATCGCTTTGTCACTGGTCGCAAACTCCTTGGGAACTTTAAAACGTCTCAACGCGCCCCGGATATCTTCGAGACTCCACCGCGATCGCGATAATATTTCGCGCGAACAGAATGTTCTTCCAAGCTTCCCGTTAATTTTAAAATCGAAGCATTTCTAGTTTCATCCGGTTCGACGTGATTTTATTTATACCGAGACATTACAATTTCCAATTGCACAACGAACCGAAAAAGTTCTGGAATACGCGATCACGTCCGTCGACGCAACGAATTTAGTTTTGATTTCGCCGGACCCTGCAGCGGAAGTTTGATTACATCGTCGGAAGTAAAATGTTTTTCGCGTTACGCGGAATTTGAACTAAAATTCATATTTCGGAGGAAATCCCGTCGGAAACGGAACGGTAATGCTTCAGTTATTTATCGCGAAACTCCATATTCGGCATTCGGGATGTATTTCTCTAACGCGTGTGAAAAATGCAAAGACTCGAGGCGTTGTAACGAATTCTGCAGATTTATTAATCTTTTCTCTGGTATTGACGTTCAATTTTTAAGCTGTTTTATATATTTTAACTGTGTGGAAGCAATCGCAAATAAGTATAGAAAAGTTAATTTGTCAATAGTAAGATGTAAAACAAGTTGGAGGAAAGTATATGTATGTGTTAATACTTTCAATGACTCACATGGAATCCACCATACCAAATTTTATGTCATTTGGTAAATTATTCCTAAGATATCAAATAAAACAAACACCAAGATATATAAATAGATAAATACAAAAATCTCTGCTTGTCAAATTTTGACCTATAGCAATATCTATACCTTCTGTATATCATAATATTGCCCCACTGTCTCTTCAAATTTTTGGAAATATTTAATACTTTTAATGACTCACATAGAATCCACCATATTAAATTTTATGGCATTTGATAAATCATTTTTGAGATATCAAATAAAACAGACACCAAGATATATAAATAGATAAATACAAAAATCTATGATTCCCAAATTTTGACATATATCAATACCTTTTCTGTAATACATTTTCTCCAGAAACATAACCAACAAAATCAAACTTATTAAACACTTCCAAAACTGTTTCTCAATTTGAGTATTGCCCCTTCCCTAATTCCCATTTATAAGAAGATATCAAGTTTTCTATTATTAAATCCTCCTTATCAGGTTTCTCTGAATCTATATTTCTAATAAATTTTCTAATCTACAAGAGGACTATATCCACGTCAATGCAAACATAGGGCTAAATAAAAGAAAATTTCTAAATAAAATACTAAAAGAATTCGATTACCCCGGAGTTGACAACTCCTGAAACCCCACGTATTGAGAGAAAAGATGTATCGAGATTCCTGGAGCGTGCCCCGTGTAGGAATCGCAGACGTTTAGAGCCCCCTCGGGCAAACCCTCAGACGATCCACAAATTTGCATTCGACTGTTTCCCCGACGCCCGTAATCCTGACGCGGGACAGTTTCTCCGTCGTCGGTTAGGGTCGTGCACCCCGCGAGATGCCCGAAAAGGGACCAATCGGCCAGCTCGTGTCTTCTTATCGTCCGGGACGATCAATAAGTCCCGGGAGGAGAAAAGAATCCGCTCACCATTCGCTGCCAGCGACGTCAACGCGACGATGGTACTTTGGACGGAGGGCGGCGGATGGTGAGGGGAGGACGAACAGGAAGGAAAACGACGACGTGGAGGGTGGCGGGCGACAGTGGTGGTGGCAGACGTATAGTTGATAAGGGTTAATTTTCGTACGAAGAAGCAGCGACGCCGCGGCGTTCTGAATGGGAGAAGAGAGAAGAGAGGAACCGCGGTCCAACCGTCTGTGTCCGGTTGTGATTCTTGCGCCTGCCCCGAGTGATGTTCACCCCCCGCCGACACTGTTTCAAGCCGCCTACGACTCGTCCTCGGTCGACGTCCCGTTGTGGTCGCGCAAGCGCATTTTACGCCACTTCCGTTTAGTCCGCATCAACGGCTCGACCACGTCGAAACGTACGATCCACACGCCTGGGGAATCGTCATGATCGAGCTTGGCGAAGTAGCCGTTTGGTCCGAGTGATTCGAGTGCCTTCGAATCCCGAATCAGTTGTTTCGCAGCGAGAAGTTCCCGTCGACAGCCTCCGAGAGGAAGATCACTATAATTATGGCCGTTCGTCTGGCTCGTCTCAGTCTTTCTATCGAAATCTGCTAGCGCTCGCCTCGAAAACGATGGGAACGTTCCTCGGTTAGCGTCTTGAGTATTTTGTGCGCTCGCAACAATTTAATAATTTTGTATTTGTAACGGAATGGGGCGTCAGAATTTGAATTCGTTTAAACGATTATTCGCTCGAAGTAAGCGTTCAATTCCGGAAGAAAGGACTATTTTTTTATCGTTATAACGTTTCCTTCTAACGAGTCCTGAGAAATGTGGAATATCAGGGTTCTCGGTTTCCAGCGATCTTCGAATGGCTCCAAACGATAGGCCATATTCCGTAATTGCCGCGTCGTCTGTCCTTCGTCAGATTTAGCGGGTGGCAACCTTTATAGCCGCGAGCCATTGACTGCAGATTTCTGGGGGGTGTAGAGGAGGGGGACGAATTTTACGCGTTCGCGCGAATTCCCCCGGAAGCCACGAAATGCTTAAAAGATTTTACGCAAATCTTCGCCCCCTTAGAAATCGGGTTAAACTATCGTCGCAGACAAGCTTGCTCCTACGTAGATTCATTATTACATCCACCCTTCTTCCCCTTTCCACCGTGCCGTTTCTCCCCGTTCTCTTCATTTCCCTTCTCCCGCTTCCGAATTATCTTTCCCCATTGAAGCTGCGGAGAATAATTATCCGCTGTAGGCTTACGGATAAAAGACTGTCATTGAAAACCATCCCCTTTGGCACCCTTTTACCATCCTGCTTTCTGTTATCCTCGTAAATCAAGGTAATTTCGTAGCGCGAACGCTTGTCGTGGCAGCTACTGGATCATTGATCGTGGAGAATCCTACGGTTTATACGAAATAGTTGTTCGTTTCTTTGCACTTTTTTTCTACAGCATCAGGATACTCGATACTAAATCGTTTCTATTTACTCCATTATTACAATATTTTTCTCATTTTATCCTGTACTATTTTCATTCTTGAAACTTAAAATTTCTCACTCCCTTCTTTACTGTTATAATACCAACCTATTTTTTAAGCAACTTAAACAGTAAAATCACCAAACAGTATCTGGCTAATTAAATGTTGTCAATAAAAGTATACAAATAAGATTTTGTTCTAACAGTAACAATTGTTTTTTTCGAAATAGTACACTTCAATACAATTGTACAATTAATACAATTATAACGCACCAAATTACCATAAATAAATTATACCACATCGCAAATATTTATTCTTCATTGTTAGGAGTTAGCAGAACCCAATTCTCCACCGCTCCTTTTACGAAGGAAATAATTTGAAAACGAGAATAAAAATTTTATTTGAAAGTAGGAGTTGATAAAGTAAGCGAATGAAGGTTTCAGAACGAATCTTGAAAGTATTATGCTAAACAGGATTTAACCTTGCGGTGGGACTTCAAATGGAACACTCGTTCATTAGGGAGCCTGAAACCGTCTGAATAATAAATGGAAGAGGGTCGGAATTAGAATTAGGGGAATAAGTCGTATTTTAATAATCCCCGATCTCGTAGAATTACAGTGCTTCTGGATTCCATTAGGAACGAGAGTATTTTCTTCCATCTCGTTCAATACCCAGCAATCAAAAGTCGTTCGACCGTTTTATTAATGTCTGCTTTGTTTCGTCCCGCAGATGGTCTGAGCAAAAAGAAGAAGAGAAAACAAGGGGGGGTCGGAGGCATTTTTTCCGGGGTCTCGGTTTCACAACTTATGGCACAACGCGACAGGGCTATTGTTGCGGCATCTGGAGTTCAAGGGTCGTCGGTGCCAAATAGATCACAGGTAATGTAACAATACTTTAAACTACAACAGAATTCAGAATAATATTTTAACAATCTAACAAAACTTAAATCTCTATTTAATGCGTGTGAATTGTAAATTATAAATTATTCCTAACATTTGAGCAATTAATTAGTTTCCTTTTTGTAATGGGTTGTGTGAAAATTTACTTATATTTCAGGTGTGGCCAATCGCAATCCCCAATTTGCAAGTTCAGCAGAGCAATCAACAGATCTGTCATCAAACGCTAAACTCACCCTCGCAAAATCAAGACGTAAACGGCTGTGCAACGAGAAATCCTCAGCAAAGGTTAGGTCAGCATAACATGTCTGGGATGCTAATGGGAAATCCTCTGATCATGAATCAGCAAAACGCTAACTTCAACAACATGACTCAGCAGCAACAACAACTGTTGCAACAACAGCATCAACAGCTTATATTGCAACAGCAACAACAGCTTATGCAACAGCATATATCTCAGCAACAGCAGCAGCAACAACAACAACAACAACAACAACAACAGCAGCAGCAGCAACAACAACAACAGACGCAACAGATGTTGCCGCATCATCAACAGATGCAACATATGCAAATATTACAACAGCAAGAGCAATCGCAACATCAAAACGCGGTTGTCAATCAGCTAACGCAACAGCAAATTCCTCATTATCTAAATCAATTAAATCAACAACCGATGCACGTGATGCAACAACAGGAACACTTGAATCAACAGCAGCAACAGCAATTGCACATGCAGCAAATGCAAAAGCATAAGATGCAGCAGCAACAACACCAGCATTTGACTCAAGAGGTCGATCAACAAACGGGGAATTACAATCCTCAGCATTCCTCGGAGAATTACGTGCATCACATTCAACCGTCGCAGATATCTCAGCCTGCTATTCACCCGCAGTTACATCAACTTCATCAGCATCAAATGCAACAACAGACCCAACAGCATCAACCTAATCAACACGTGATACAAGCTCAGGCAACCGATCATTTTCAAATGCAAATACAGCAATTACAGCAGCAGCAACAGCAACAACAACAGCAGCAGCAACAACAACAACAACAACAACAACAACAACAACAAGTATCTCAGGCTTGCGTTCAGCCTCAGTATCCTAATCAACAGTTGAACCATCACTCGTTGGATGTCATGCAACAACAAACTTCGGGCGCTGTGATGAACACGATCAACGCTGGTGATATTCAAAACAGACATAATCGTACACCTTCCGTTACGGAAGAAGATCTAAATGTGAAGCAAATGCAGCAACAGCAACAACAGCAGCAGCAGCAGCAACAACAACAACAGCAGCAGCAGCAGCAGCAGCAGCAGCAACAACAACAGCAACAGCTTTTATTGCATAATCATCCGATGCAGCGGCACCACGTCGTACAAAATGGAAACTTGACGAGCAACCCGCACGAGAACGTGCAACGAATGTACGCTCAGAATCAGGTTCAGTATCCTGCGAGGAATTTCGATGCTTCTAAGGGAACCACTGCTGATGTCAAACATCAGCAGCAATACACTTTGCCTAATCTAGCGGGAAGGAGCCCGAACACCAATCACACCGTTGAAGCACAATCTGGTATGGGACCAAACGGACAGCCCGGAAATATGCATTTCACCTCGAGAACACCGCCCTGGCAACAAAACCGACCGGCGTCTGGTTCTCACCAGCCTTCTCTCGTCACGGTCCAGAATATTACCTGCAACTCCTTCGATCGTGTTCCGCCCTTGCATCATCACATTCCACAAGCCACCACCTGGACCGACGAGGTGGCTCGCAAAAAGGCAAAGTCCAACAAAGTAATGGTGAAGAAGCAACGCCAGCACAGCGTCACGGACGTCAGGAACAGTAGCCTCGATCAACCAGCGTCGAGTCCGATCGACGAGTTCAACGAGAAAAGTCATCAGAACAATAGTCAGATAGGTTCGACCGTCAACAGCAGCGGTCCGTCGTTTTTGGAAGACCCTAGTGGTTACCTAGCACAGCAGACTGCGTTGTTGAACAGCACGATATCGAGACAAACGGGCGTCAGTAGTTCGCAAGTGGGAATGGTTAACAATTCGAAACCACCGCAGACGAATCACGGATCCCACTTACCTAATAACGCGTATCTTCCACAACCAAAGCCTTCCTCCAGCGTTAGCCCCACAAGTACATCGACGTTCAATTCGGTGAAGAATCACGCGACCTCTCCCGTTGTCGTGCACAGCAGCATGACGCCCACGTCGAGCAGCGGAGGAACAGATTCGGAGGGTAGCCCTTGTCAAGGTTGCGTTACCAGCGCAGATACGCAGTCCTATGTGCAGGATCAGTACAAGCAGCAAATGCAGCGACAGTACCTGATGCATTCAGATCAACGCGAAGATCCTGTTACGTCGTCCACGTTTGGGGAGCAGTACCAGAACAACCAACAACAAGCTGATTCGAGACCAATTCAAGGCGGCACGGTGAGCACCAGCCACGGATCTCCGATCGGAACGAACAGTCCAGCAAATTCGGACACGCCAGCTTCCTCAACGCCCGGAATATCGCAGCCGGCGACGCCGCAAAGTTTAATCTCATCGCAACCTTCCACGCCTCATAGTTATTCGCAACCGCCAACACCTCATTCGCACGCTACTTCTGGTCAAGTGCCATCTCAACCTTTAACGCCACAAGCTCAGCAACCGTCGCAGTCTTCGATGAGCAGCGGCGTGCAGGAGCAACGTTCCGAAACGCCTTGCTCCGCTACAACGAACACGAGCGGCGTCCCTCCTACCACGCTCTCGTTGCAAACGTCCTCGTCCGCCCCGGACAACATGACACCTCAGATAACCAAAAGGCAAACCTCAAGACAATCGTCTTTGGACGGTTATCAGCCGCATCCGCACACCGTAAACGCTGTTTCCAGAGTACCTATGAATCACTTTAGCGGTACGTCGTCGGTGATAACTACTATGGCCAGTGGACACACCGTCAGCAGCAACACTATCACGTCCGTGCTAGCAGGAAGAGCGAACACAGCCACGGTTTCGATCAACACGCCTTCTGGAATACCAAATCCCGCCATACCGGATATACTTTCGAACAAACCTCAGCATCAAGCATCAACGACGACGTTAACGAACGTGCCCACCACTACTGTTACGCATACTTCTCTACCGAGCAGTCAACCGTCGATGCCAATAAGCGTCTCGAAGTCGCCATTGGAGATGGTGCAAAGCGTTGTCAGTAGTATACAAGTACCTCAGACCAGTACCACCTCGTCGGTTCAACCGCAAAATCAACAACAACAGCAGCAACAACAACCACAGCAGCATCCTCAGTCCAACGTTCAAGTACACAACGTTCTTACGTCTGGTGGAATACTGAAGCACCCCGCTAGTTCAACTCTACCTCCTGGCCATATACTTGTGTCCAGTGGTGGCCAACTAATAATGGCCAGCACGGGGACGGGTATCAACGGCGTGATGGCACCTCCCCCTCCTAAAATAATTTCTAACGCCAGTTCTATGCCACCGTTGTCGGTATCGCCCATGGTTACTAGCGTAACGGGCGCTGTTAGTCAGGTGATCCCTGCAGTTGGCGTAGCTCAGCAAGTCATAGGACAACCTACCGTACTAGTGAACACTATTCAGACTCCTGTACTTATACAGCCAGGCGTGATGACAATGGACAGCATAGGGCAGAACGTCCAGATACCGCATCTGACCGTGGCTACTGGTAACGTGATACAAAACGCTCAGTCGATTCTGGACGCGAACCAAGACGTCGCGAGGAACGTGAACGCCAGTCAGGGAATGGTAAATCGGCAACCAGCGTTGCTGTCGCCAGAGTCGGCGATAAGCAAAAAGAAAGCGTACAAGAAACGAAAGACAAACCCTCAGACGGTAGCCTCGATGTTGCATATCGCATCATCACAACAGAACGCTGGCATGTTGATGCAATCACAATCAAACTTTGCCCAACAAAACTTTCAAACTCAGAGCATAGGCGGCCCGATGTTGCAAGCGTTGACCATCGTACCGGGAAAAGGTGGAGCACCCGCCCAATTGGTGATGAACGGTCAGGCTGGCACGACCTCGGCTCAGTTCAATGCTCAGCAAATAATCACGAATCCTCAGCCGACCCAGCAAATAAATCTGCTCCAGCCGGTGAACTTATTGAACGGAGCCGCTGGAATGGTCCAAAATTTCCCCACCATTCAACAATTTATCGTTCCTGGCATCGGGAGCATGGTGATGTCCGCCGATGGAACAGCCACCTTGTTGCAAGACACTGGAAACCTAGGCATGCAGCTGCAGATACAGAACGTGAATGGTCAGAACGTCTTAACCCCGGTTCAAAGTCACAGCGGGATATTCAATCCCAGTCAAAGCATCTTGGCAGCTGGTCCTGCTGGAATGGTTATTCGCGCACCGCAGGCAACCGGTGGAAAAATTATTCAGCAGCACAGTCCTGGCGCACAATTTCTATCGCCGAACAGTGGTCAGTTCCTAGTAAACGGTACCACGTCGTTCGGGAACCAGTTGAGCCCAATAGTAGCCAACGTCAGTCCCAACCAGCAAGTGACGTTCAACACCTCGCAGGTTCGACCGTCTAACATGCAGGGTCAACAAGAATTCATACAGATGAACGGTCAAACGTTGATGGTACCTTGCGGCACCGCACAAAACATTGCTGTTTCATCAGCGTCCAATCAACAGAACACGACTTTCGTGCAACAAAACACCACGATCGTGCAGCAACAGACCACCATGGTGTCCAACAATCAGATACCCAACTTTCAATCCGCAGCTTCTAACGGAACGGCCGTTGATCCTTCTTTGAACATCGATCACAATCAGTCGTACATTCTTAGTTCCGGCATGATTCAAGGAAAGGCGCCGACTTCGCCGAAAAGTAACGTCAATTCACCGTCCGCGGATCAAAACGTCGAACAACAACAATACGTTCTTGCAAGCAGCAGCACGACCGTCGTCGAAAAAACGGCGCAACAGAGCGACCAACACAGCCCTCTGATGGCCAGACATTCTGTGTCCACACAAACGGCAGGGAATCAAGCTAACATGGCACAGTCGGCTATGATGAGGCAAGGATCTCCCCCGGATACCACCACGCATAGTCCAGGAAATAGCCAGAGGTCAAACAGCCCTGCTGTGGATACTACAACGCATGGAGCAGCTTCACCGGCACCACCGATTACAGTTAGACATCATTCGTCATCCACGGTAATATTAACTGTTTCAAACTTTAAATGAAAAATATAATAATGATTGTAGTTAAGGCGATTTGTAATTTTTCTTCACATAAAAAAGTAAAAAGAATTTCCTCTGGAACTATGCTGCCAGGTGTTAAAGTTATGAGATGGGGTATTGCAAACGAAGCTTCTTCTTTTGTTTTGGTGTCATAAATTCATATCGTAGGTTTGGTTATTTAACGGAGCACTTGGGGGATTAATTCTGTAGAGGGAAGACTGAAAGTTGCACGCGTAAAATTCTATTGAATAATTGGGCAACTTTCTTTCCAGTCGACAATTTCTTTATCCTAGATTGTATTAATTATTGATCTACGGTTTCAGCCAATGGTTCATTGCGTGTCGAGCAGCGAGCCGGACTCAGCAGATGTGCCGGTGCCGTCGGAGGACTGGAGGATTCAGGGTATCACCACGAAGGAAATAACGCTTAGTCAGCCGGGTCTCCATGGAAAGACATATGTGGAATCGACGGTGACTACTGGGATCCAGGTTGGTACCCATGTAGAGCAGGTCAACCGTCATCTAACTCTAACAGACATGCACCAGCCAGCCGATACGACACACCCTGAAAACACATACGCTGACTCACAGGAGCATATGGACACTTCATCACCAAATCATTCCATATATTCAGACACAATGGACCACTCCCTCGTGGAAGATCAGCTAAGCGTCACTAAAGAAATGACGGATCTCTCTTATACGGAGATGGAGGTCAATACGTTGCCGGTTGTAGGTCATGGTCATTATCAGCCGATCCTTTATCACAGCCAGCACTACGTTCCCAATGCAAACGTTTATCGACAGCAAGCTTTAGTGCCAGACCACGCGCATTACACGATGTTGCCGCAAACGAAATTCGATAATAAGTCTTGCGTTGAAACAAATCAAATCGATTCGCAAATTGTACAGCACGTTATTGAGCAGGACGATATCGGTCAGAATTCGGAAGAGAAGTCTATGGACAGTCAACCAGTCAGCGTTCCATACTGTCCCGAGAACGAAGATTATCAAAAATTTGTGAGCGTTGGCGTCGCAACACCGTCCGGTCTCTATCCTCATTTGTATAACTATAGGTCTGATCCTAATGGCATTGCTGTCGTTAACTACTCGCCAAGCAAACAGGCCTATATAAATCCATATATTTACAATCCATTCGTGTATGCGCAAGAGGTGGACGACGGTGAGGAAACTGACTCATCGTCGGAAGAATAAGCATCTTTCTTTCGTATGGGTCGATCAATTAATTTTGTACATTTTAAATTTAGACATTAGTGGCATTCCCTTTTCACGCAAGAGCCTATTACGCGTTTCCAGTCGATACTATTAAGTTTGTAATTAGTTTGTATTTAACGTTATTAATTTTTACTTGCAGACATTTTTGTGGGCCGAGCCGTCGAGCTCGCTTTTAGCGTTATTATTTAAAATGTACATTGCAATAATGTAACTTGTATGCTCAACCGTGTGTTAACGGGTCAGTGAAAAAAAAAAATCATGATTTTTTATAATGGCAAACAGAGAAAAAATAAATTTTTGCTAAACAATATCGTTGACGATAAAAATTATCTGATATACATTATTCCTGATTGATTACAAAAAAAAAAAATGAAAAAAATAAGACAAAAAAATACCTTGCGATGAGCATGCGTAATCAGAGTTTGGATTTCGTCTCCTTTGGTATCATTTCTCGTTTGCATGCTTCGAAGAGAATGAAATTTGAACCGTTTCGGTTCGGCCATCGATAACAAGCGTAGAAAACGTAAGTTTTCTTAATGGCTCTCTGAACCGTTCGTCGCGTTAATGTTTCCGGACGTTTGTACGTATGTTATGTTGTAATCGGATCAGAGACCTTTTTATGTTGCAGTAGATTACGTTCTGTTATTAATACCTTTCAGTTCACTTATGTTTTTCACGCTCGATCGAAAGAATGATGACAAAGATCTTGCTGGAGAAAGAGAGAGGGGGTTTAGCGATACAGAAACGAGCGATTTGGCAGTCGTTAGGTTGAAAAGATATTAGCATGCGATTGGTAGGCTTGTGCCTGAGTTGATCGAGTTATATTTGACAGATCTATACGACAGAGACGTTGAAGCAAGCCGAAGGTGTGGTGAGCACAGTGAGGTGCGAGGGCAGGGATCATGCCCTCGGCCGTGGAATCAAACGAAAACTGGACTCCATCCATTCCATGCATTCTACCCTGCATGAAGACCAAGATGGTCAGTATTGTATGGTATTCTTAGACGTTATTCGTGCATTAGTAGCATAAATAGCTCGGCTCTAGTATCGAACGTCATTTTGATATTCGACTTTGAGGCATCGGAATCGTTTCGTCAAGTCAAGCTACGTTCATGTCATGGAATTTATCAGTAACGAAAATTTACTAGCTTTGCAAATGAAATTTAAGTAGTCCAAAGTATAAAGCGTTTAACAAAATTTAATTTTTGAAAGTAGCATTCGAGTTGAAGTTATTTTATCAAAATGGTACTTTATCGTAACACTTGGATGAAAAGCAATGCGAACGACAGCTCGATTCGTTGCAGTTGAAATGTTTAATTTAAATTCGATAACGATGGTCTCGCATTGCTCTTTGCCAATGTTCGCTATATAGTGAATGTCATTATTAAGAGTGCTTCTGGCTCTAGCAACATCGATTACTAGAATAGAAATAATTTAACGAAACACGTTTTCACGTGCTAATTGTTCTCCATATTGTTCTCCATATTTCGTCGATGCATGCTCTTTAGACACGTCGATTGGCTAATTTCAATTTCTGTGTATTGCTTGTTCACCTTTGTTTTCGCTCGCTGCATGTACAATGGCACAGCTGCATGATAATTAGTGCTTGTTGCATTTGTGTACGCTTTGGTAACGCTTTTTACGCGACGCTCAAGGTCTATTTACCTCGACAATCGACACGAATATGTAAACGAAAAAAAGAAACAACTTACTCACGCGCATAACTTTTGTACTGTCGAAAATTATTATCATTGGAAGTGTCGTTAAAATTGGTTTCCTGCGAGCAGGAAAAGGAATATATATATTTTTTAACGATTCGCTGATAGCATATGGCAGTTCGACGTAAATTTTACATTTTTTTTCTTTTTTTTTTGTTGCGTAAATTAATTACGACAAGAAAAATATTCCTTCTCGCGGTCGAAGAAAGAATACACGCATCCGGCCGATCGGAGAGAGAAAAAGTTTATCGTTTCGAAGAGAGATTATTTAATATTTTTTTTCACGAGAGCTCGATGCAGGTAAGTGATGTCAGTACTAAACATTTTTGTTCGTTAAAAAGAAAACAACCCAGGAGACTCGATGCTTGCTACGTAAAAAAGTAACGGCGGTGACATTGGATTAATAAAAATTGTAAATAATTTTCGCCGGAAGGATTTGTTGCGTTTTTTTTCTTTTTTTTTCTACTAATTGGCTGGCAGGTTTGTTAATATCATTGTCCACGCAGTTGTGACGTGCCATTGAAAAAGGGCCAGAGGGGGCTTCAGTCATACGTTCATTTCGGCGCGGGTGTGGCTCACCGGTTTATTTATTGCGGCATTTCTTGTACATATAATCACCCTCACGTTTCTCGCGTCGCATGTGCATAATCTTGGGGAGGGATCGTTGTTTTCGTCCTGGGAGCGCCAAAACCCGAGAGCCTCAGGCGTGTGTGTGCAAGAATTTATCACGTAAATCTGTAACTTTATTACGTTCGTAATTCGCGGCTCCGACCGAGAGTCTGGAATTTACGATCCGAGCATTCGCTGTTCAAAGATATCGGAATAACGAAATATCGCCCGGCGATAATCGCGCCTCTTTTCGACGAGAATTTAATCGATCCGAGAACCATATAACGAGGGAAAAGCGTAAAAGTTCGACCACGATCGTCTTTTTTTTTTTAACAGTCGACGTTATCTAAATTGGAGTGGAAACGATCAACGAACGAAGTCATTTGCATGTGCTCGAACCATCTGATATCTCATTTTGCCACTGATCTCGCCTACCACCATTTGAATGAAGCTACTAATCATTTTTTAACGAGCACGCGCGCGAGCAAGAAGCACATTTCAAAAAAATAAAAAGTACAGTCCAACAATAGAGACGTAGTGGTATCATAAATTAAAAAAGTTCAAGGACGAATCCCGTTCGTAAAGCACGCACCAAGAGCATACCCATTTCGTTGTTATGCGTTGCACTTATTGACCAAATTTAACACACAACTTTAACAAAATTCGCGGGATCGTGTACGCGAAAATCGTAATCGAATTTAAATTACCAATAATTAATGGGAAGAGTTCATTTTCGATTTTAACACTTAGCCGTCGGTCGTCGAAACAATTTGCTACATTTTTATATCGTTAAAACGTCTGGCTATGCAATTTTGCAGAAGTCGATTCGCAAACAGTATGCGCATGTTAACGAATGCAAATGATATAATTGAATTCTGATATTAATTAATTTTCTTCGCTAGGTGATATACTGTTCGGATACTTGTCTTTTTAATTTGTTTAAACTGTAGTTTGGTTCTTGATTTTACAAAGTATCTACGATGTTTATGATTGAAAAATTGTAATCGATGACGGGAGAATTTTTTAGAGGATAGCAGACAAATGCATTCATTGCACTTTTTATTATTCGGGTTAGTACGATCAATTTTAATCAGATTTTAAAAATTTACACAAACACACATGGTACGATCGAGAAGCAGGTGATTCTGCAGGAAAAACTGAATCCGAAAACGTAGAATAAAAATTTTTCGCACGGAGCTTTGTTTTTTTTAGAAAATCTTGACAGTACGTGAGATGCGCGTTCAGTTCACTGGTAAGTCTCTACTTCAGGATCTTGAAACGAAGTTAAGTATAAAAAAAATAGCATTTACGATAATGAATTGTTGCAACATATTGTGTTTTATAAAATATAATAAATTATATAATTGAATATATGAAAAACTCACAGAAAAGAAAAAAGGAAACATTGCAATTTTTAATATTCGTGTAGTTCAATGTTTTAAATGGTAAAAGAAATTTTTATTCTACGTTTTTAATTTGTTTTTACGTGCAGAATCGTCTCTTTTCAGTTGTACCACTAATTGTAAGACACGGTGAGGACGGCTAAATGTTAAAATTCATTAGGCTCTTTTTGAAGTTGATTAATGACTGTATCAAGGACAGGGGTGTAAGTCCTATCTTTTTGTAAGAGTGAGTCTTGATGGAAGTAAAAATATAATGACTCTAATTGACTCTTGAAAATCTTCAAAAGAATAGCTATATTAAAAAAAAACATCTGTGGATTGTCTGGTGCCAATTTTGAGGGAAAAATAAAATACAATTTTGACACGTATTTTGAATTAGTTGCAGAAAATTAAATTTAAGAAATCAAAATCTCCTCCAGAGTTTTACCATTCTTTTACTGTTTTTGAAATAATAGGAGCTAGAAATTTTCCAAACAAATGATCTTTGACATGTTGAATCAATCTGTATTGGAAATTGAGATAGTAAAAAGAGTACGATGCTTGTCTTTTACTGTTCTAAAACTGCAAAAAGGTCCGTCAAAATTTGTGCCAGTCGCTGTACAGATATTATTAAACTGGTAAACACGTTTGAAATCACGATCCCGCGACAATTCGTCCCGCTTCCTCGGATACAAGTTTGGTCTCACCACGTTCACGTTCAATCGATTTCACCTTTCGGGGCTTGAGTAAAATAGCGTGAAATAGAGAACAGTAAGATGAAAGAGAGAAAGAGAGAGTGATAGAGGCTGAGTGTCTGTGTGCGTGCGTAAAAAAAGAACCGAAAGAAAAATATCGTATCTTGTTTGGAACCTTTAATAGCCGAGGCAAAGTCAGAGGAGAAGAGCCAGAGGAGACTGGAAGTGGGTGAGCTTGTATGGGGCGCCGCAAGAGGAAGTCCGGCCTGGCCGGGCAAGGTCGAGTCTTTAGGCCCCCCGGGGACCATGACGGTCTGGGTCCGTTGGTACGGGGGCGGGGGAGGTCGGAGCCAGGTCGAGGTCAAGGCTCTCAAGTCCCTCTCCGAAGGCCTCGAGGCGCACCACCGTGCGCGAAAAAAGTTTAGGAAGTGAGTCGCACCACCTCGTTCGGGGATACAGAATCAGATATCAGTTATCGAAGCCTCTTAGGGACTCGGGGTGTTACGGGGATAAACGATGATAATTTACGAAACGGCCTCTCAACGTTCGAATACTCGTGCCTGCGAATTTATCAACGTCCTTTTAGATATCTTTCAAGAAACATACGTCGAGGTTTTATCTGATTGTTGCACGTCTTTTGATCCAGCATATTTAACGGATTTGTCTAGTTAAAACAATCTTTCTTAAAGTTTTAAGACTAGATAGTTGTAAAGCACGATTATGAAATTCGGAAAATTGGCGAAGTTACAGGATTTTTAAACGGGGTTCTTATATACGATGCTTGTACATAGGTAATGGGCAATTTTTATTTGTCATAGTTTAGATTTGAAAAGAATTATTTTTGTTGTGAGTGAGTAGTGTTTTTTAACGTATTAGTGGAGTTGAAGTTGTTTATGGAAATAGGAATGTCGAAGGATAAAATGTTAATTTAATGCCTATGGAATAATTCGATCGATGGTCGGGCAATTTTATACGTATATCTATAAAACAAATATTCCTCTATTGTTCAGTACCAAAATTAACTCGATTTATTTACTGCTGGAAATGTTGTGAAATTGTATACGAAAAACACATTCATAACCAAATAGCTGTTTTAGCTGTTATTTGTCAATCATAAATTTAAAAAAAATTTATTTTGATAACAACAGTTCTGTGAGAGATATGTAGTTTATACAAAGTTAATCGTTTATAATTAAAAAAATGCCTGAGATTTATTAAAATATAAATAAATATACGTATGAAATTTGTCATTGATCTGTCGAATACTTTTCCTCTAAAAACATTATTAAATTTTGTGAGCTGAGAACTAGATAGGCCCCATAAAGGACACGATGCAAAATTGATCTTAATTTTAAAATACAACTCTAGAGAACCATGGTTCCTTTTTAATTATTGTACATTGATATTTCTAGTACCTCAAGTTGTTTATTCATATTATTTTTCTTGAAAAAATGATAAAATCAAATCAACAGTCTGTAAATTTCAGTTTTCATTCTATTGGATTCTGAACTTCTTTTTCCTTCCTCATTTTCGAATAAATTATTTATTAACGTAATCATAGCAAAAATAATATTATTCCATACAATAAAGAAAATCAGCTACTTTTGACCATTCTAAATTCTTATTTAAAACCCACTCAAATTAGAAGCAATTATATTATTATACTATAATATCCTCGACGTCGAAAGTACTAAATATTAAATTTAGTCAAATAATTCCGCTCTGCCAGTAAAATACACACTCTGCAAAGAATTGTTTTTTCAAATTATATAATGAATATTTACGATGAGAGTTATTTATGACTCTATTGAGTATTTAATGAATCAAAGTAAAGAATTAAGAGTCCTGTAGACACATGATTACTATTTCGTATTTTATTATCGTTTGTCCAATCACGCCTAAGATACTATACAAAAGAGGTATAATTAATATTGATAAATGCTTTACAAAATTGATCTATGAAAATAATGGTATTTTATATATTATTTTATGTACATAGTACATTAAATGGAATGATTGTTTAATAGGTCCGTTTTGTATAACATTTATTAACAAACCAACAGCCAATGATATCGAGTCTCTATTATATATTTAAGAAATCCTTTGCGTAGCTGCGATTTTTCATTTTTGCAATATTCTTTTAACAGTAGACAGCTTTTAAAGTACTGTTTAGAAGGCATTTATTTGGAATACGCTTTTGCTCCAACTCTTTAATCGCAGTTGCGCGTTTTAGACGCATTTTAATCTACACTCTGCAAATATATACGTATGTTTATTTATCCTGCTTAGTATTGCTGTTTAAGTATAACTTGTTTATTCCTTCTTTAGCAATATATTCTCCGTAGTATACATATAACGTTTGTGAGATACGTTACGTTTACACGGACATTCACGAACGTCAGTGAAATATTAAATTCGTTTCGTTGTGTAGATGTAAAATGATCGGTGTAAATATGCAAGATATTAAAAGAAGAGAAACGATCGTGACAGTTTTACGATGAAAAATCTTTTAATGATTACGTTGTTCGTTGTGTATAGTCCACTTACGTAACCGACAGCCAGATATTTAAATTTGGTCGAATTTATGCTTTTCGTGGTTAATTAAAAAGAAATTATTATTTACTAAAGTAAGTGTTATACTTTTGTAAAAATATTATTCTACATTATTAAACGATTACCGAGGATTATTCGACGCACAAAATCATTGCAGGAAGGAATTTCAAAACTGTCAAAATTTATAGCGACGCGTTACAATCTTTTTTTTTAATTTCATAATTACTGTATAGTAATATTTCTAGCGAGTGAAACGAAGCTTTAGATCAATCGAAAACGAATAATTGGTGTTCGAAGGATGTCAATGCTCCGACTATTTCTTAAATTACAGATGAAGAAGCTATTTTTACAGCGTGCAGTAGGTGTTTGGTTCTTTTCTTATTCCGATCGATCAATCATTGATTCGACCGGTGGCAGCTATCGTTTCTCATAAAAGATGCATCGCACAAGTGTTCAGGATCGAGTTTGTTCTCCTTGAAATATCACACACATCTCATTGTAGTATTTGAATTATATTTCAAATTATTAGCCAAATTACAGACTCGAGTTCCAGGTAATTCTTGAAATAAAATCCACGAGAATTTCAACCCCAGCCATTTCGTCATTTATGAAATAAAGAATAGGTTTCCTTTCTAATCCGTATTTATTCTAACATTTGAGAGATATTTGAAATTTATCAACGTGGTATAATTTGTAAAATGACAATTTTTCATCTGTCAGAAGCTGTTAATCCCTTTAATTTAAAATTGGAAATAAATTAAATAGTAGGTATCTTTTACACTTGAATGATTGAAAATATACAGCATGTTTCTAAAATAAACGATCACACTCAAGAGATATATTCTATTCGTTATATTCGTAAAAGAGTATCGTAAATTTGTGTGTTTACTTTTCAGGGTACAAACATTAACTGTACATTAAAAAGATTGCAGCATTCAAATAAAATGTCAAGCATGTACATAGTATTTATTGTTGTTCAAATTAGAATGATTGTTAACTTTAAATTATTTTCTAAATAAATTGTAATTACTTTCTTCGTATTTGTTGATCTCTACAACTTCAAAACAGAGGTGATCGACTTTTGATTGCCTGCTGAAGATGTTCAGAAAGAAACGTCTACAAAGTTCTTCCACTCTCTAAATGTTCATGAAACCACAACTTCATAAAGTAGCTGAAAATAGAGGTTACGAAGTTTTTTTAGATGCCATAACTGAAGTTTAAGGGATGAAACTTCCCCTCAAAGTATCAGACTTCTATCTTTAAAAGTATTGGATATAGTAGGAAGGTTTTAGAACTAATTTTTTGTGTCTTTTGATGTAAAATTAGTGCGCGCATCAGTAAAGAAAAATTATTAACAAAATACAAGAAAATTTGTCTATCGTTGAAAGAAAATCTCTGAAATTGTTTTATGATTTTATGCATAATGCTGCCAGTATAAAATAAATATATTTAAATGTCTGTTTCAAATAAAAATAATTTACTATACCATCCGTTTTTTGAACATCACAAACGATTTGTTTTAAAAACTTCCTTGTATCTCCAGTAGTTTTAATCTCCAAAATACTTGAGTTATCGTAGCTATAAAAAAAAGTAGAAACAAAATTGAGGAGGGAGTATTGTGAATGTTTCAACTCTAATATAAACTTGAGGATTATTAAAATCAACGAGATCTTTGTACAGGTGTTTCACTTAAAATAAGCCGTCTAAATATTTCTCACATTATGTAACAAAAACTTCTATAGCCCCATGGTTATTTTTTTATTTATTTTTAAGGTCGCTGATGTGTTTTGCATGTAAGTGCATATTCGTCTCTCTTGCATGTTCTAGCTGACATGAAAATGTGTTTATAGATGTACTGTGACATGACCATGAAATGACCTTTTGCCCCCGAAAAATGAAAATTAAACACGAAATTTATTTCCATCTAGAATTTTTAAATCGCTGGATTTGACGTAACGGAACTTTAGTATGGCCACCTCGCTTCCCTAACTCAGACCTCGCACTAATGGGCTTCTTCTTGTGAGGAGAACCAAAAATCAAGACGTTTATATCGAACAACCCACAATACCAGAGGACATAAAAACCAGAATAATTAGAGTTTGTCATTAATCCAGCAACAATCGAAAGAACATTGCAATCTCCCCGTACGATAACTATGAAAGTGAGTGTGACAGATGCCATAGAAATCTCCTAACATGTAACATGTAAACATGCTTACTTTCGTTCGCAGGTTCTCTACCGTCGTCGCTGAAACCTTCGATCTCGATGGAAATAAATTTCATGTTTAACTTTAATTTCTCGGAAGGTCATTTCAAGGTCATTCCACAGTACGAACGCATTTTAGTGCCATCTTCCACACGCAAGGGAAAATAAAATACTCGACCTTCGGAGACTCAGAATCAGAGAAAAGTTACTTTCTGGGCCAAGAAAGTTCTCCGCTGCGCATTCATCCTTACCGCTTGAATCGAAGGAGACATTTAAGTGGCTTCTTTTACCCGAGATACCCTGTATTGTAAATAATTATTATCCTTACAACGAGTAGAACATATTCCTAAACTGTGATCGCTCATTTTAGGAACATCGTTTCGAGGAGAACTCGATCCCCAAACACTTGGACGGTGTCCTAGGAGTTGGGCAAACTTTATTCGCGAATTAAACAAATAAGAAAGTTCACCAACGAGTGTAAAATCGTTGTTGATCGGTCGTAATTAAATTTTGTCCAGCTCCGGGATTCATTGCTCGTCGCCGATCAGCAAAGTAGTGACACGTAGCTCGAGTAGCGCATTCTAGATGCATCGCGGTTTCGCTGTTGCTTGCCCGTTTCCGGTCCCAGGGCCGTACTTCCGCACGACTAACGCCACGGTTCTCTCGTGTGGCACGTTTTCTTTTTCTAGAAGTCGTAAATTGAACATGCAGCTGGAGAACGCCATACAGGAGGCGATGGCCGAGTTGGACAAGGTGCCAGAGTCCGGGAAGGGTCAGAAGCCAACCGGAAGGTCGTGCAGGATGACCGGAACCAAAGGATCCGAGGGCAGCGGGGCCTCGAAGCCGGATAGAAAGAGATCGTCGAAGAAGTCCGTTGCCTTGAACTCCGTCGCAGCGGAGCAGAAGCAGTGTCGATGATCCTCCGTGTCCGTCGTCGACGATACGCTGCTCTCTGAGGAAGCTTTCGACGATAAAACGACGAATCGTTTTGCGATATAGCAACACCGACACGCGTGCTCGTTCTACGTTGTTTTTATAGTAACGTGACACAGTCTTTTTCGATGCTTGGAATTTTTACCTGTGCTTGATATTCAGTCTGATACATGAGAGAGAAACGTAAACCGGAGACGAAAGTAACGTGGAACGAGCGGAATCGTTGCACATTTTCTTCCCGATGAAAATGGCGCTTCTACCGACGATCTCTCCTGACGAATGTTTTCTCCGACGCGACGAGTTTGATTTGTTTTTCTTTTCTTTTTTCTTTCTGTTCATAAGTCGGAAGAGTTCGAACGCTTCCGCGAACGTCGGAGGAAGTTTCGACGAGTTTGTCGTTCGGGAACAAAATATTAGTGGACGAGAAAGAGAAGGGGAAAGTCGATCGATTGCGATCGAGGAGACTGAAGAGAAACTAGGGAGAGAGAGGGAGGAGTAACGAAAAGGCACGGATGTAATTGATTTACAGAAGATTTTTATTGGCTGAAAGTTATTTCGTAGTCGGGGACGTATCTCGACGTGATATAGGATAATTTGTCGTTATCTCACCCACGATCATTCGCTGCTAGCATGTATAATTGTAGCGGACACCACTTTCCTATTATAATTGATCACTCGCGATCGTGTGTATTAATTAAAGAGGCAAAACTATTTGCTGTAATATTGTGTAAATCGTAGGCTATCGTCGTTCTACTTTTAACAGTAGGATCGGATGTACCCTTAATTTGTTAAGAATATTTGAAGAATTTACTCGACGCGTTTCTGAAACGAAATTGTTGGATTATCGATGCGTATATTTCCCTTCGGCGCGCGATTTAACAGGAAAATGGTGAAGAGTAGAACTCAATTAGGGAAAGAACGAAGTTTCGAGGTCGAGTTGTCGCTGGGCAGAACGTGTGTGATTTACGTACAGGGTGGAGAAAAGTTATTTGTTGCGACGAACACGAAATAAATACAATCACAATTAGCAATGGCTTGGCGTCGATTGGATGGAGTTTATTCATGAATCTGAATCTTTCAATGTACCAAGAATTTTAAATAACCGAATGAGCGTTAGAAAATAAAAATGGTGTTGTTCGAATCTACCTTTTTGTCCTAATATTTGAAACAAGATAGATTGCAATAAATATACGATGTTACTATATTTTATCTATATTTTATTCTGTATTTTGTCTCTTGTTTTAATCCACACTAGTAAACTATCCTTAAATGGAATAAATTTCTGGCATTCCGGAAGAAATATTTCATTCTAATCGATTCTTTAAGTGTAGTTTAAAAAAAATGGAAGACTACGATTTTAGATTATTCAGAAAATTGAATTAAATTTTTTCTGACTGTACAGCACTCATTTCTGATCGATCAAATCTAGTTTTTGAAATCTATTTGAGCTTTTACAATATTCTGTTAATTATTTTGCGTAGTTTCTTAAATATGTAGTAGGTGATATTATGGAATCGATGCAATAAAAAGGAATTATATTATCTACTTTTACAGTATATCTTCGTTAGCATTTATCGATGTTCTATTAGAAAGCAAGAATGATCATTTCACCAATCGTTACCTGTTTATTTTCTAACCAATTCTCCAAAATATTGAAAGCGTAAAGCATAATAATGTCACGAAAGAGACCAACTAACCCATGCCAGAGCTTTGACGATTCTTTAACGAAAGGCCAGCGACAAATAACTGTACCCTATACCGAAAGATCAGCGAGCGATGGAGAAAGTTTTTCCAAAATCCGATAAGCGTTTGCCTAGCGAACGGAAGAAAAGAAGCGTTGGAATTAGTTGTACTTTATTCGCAAACTCGAGCGGCTAACGAATATTAACGAGCGAGTGTCCTTCCGTTTCTAAACGATTCCTGCAACCTTTCGATTAGAGACGTTTTCGAATGTTACATTAACATTCACGAATAGGATGTGTGATAAGAAGAACAATGGATGTTTGTATCTCCAAAACTTTAGTCGCCGCGTAACAGTAACAGATTAGAATCGACGGTCGGTCGGTGGTTCCAATTTTAAAACGACGAACGCACCTTCGCGCGTGAACCTGTATTTTTTTTAAAAAAATACATCTCAAAGAAACAGAGTGAACGACACGAGCATGCAAGTAGGTTTAAAACAATATTTTTGCGAACGAATCAACGCGTCACAGTACCTACAGAGAGAATACTATTCCCAATCAATCATTTTTTAGATGGCTATACATAAGTATACAAGGAATAATTCTTTTACTGGGACGTCATCGTGTTGCATTGTAATATTTAAACAGTCTCGACACGTTGAAATCCTTTTTAACCCTGTGCCAGCTACGGGACTGGCGTTTTTTGATCCGCGTAACGATTTTGTAACATTATTCCTTAGATGGTAAAGTAACGAAAAAAGAAAAAAAACAGAAAATAAAAAAATAAACTAAATAGTGTATCGATGCCGCGACTCGATATTCTACAAACGGAACAAAATATAAAAACGAAACGAAGCTTGTACATAAGAAAATGGCCCGATTAATTAAGAATCGGAAGTCTCTGCGTGGTGTCACGCCCGGATTTTAATCGACGCGCGATGAACTTCGAACGAGACGGGGCTTTCGGATAGCTTGAAGTCAATTTCATTTGAAAAAAGTAGGAAAAATGAACAAAAAAAAAAAAAAAAATTAAAAACAAAAATAAAATAAATACAAAGCATCGACGAATCTTTCGCGAAAATAATTTTCCACTTTTTTGCTTCAGCGATTCGATCTCGTACGTGCGATACCGAGTACCTCGCCCTTATTTTTGTATCGACACGAGTATTAAAAAGCAACGCAACACCATTGTCGCACAACTTAGCCCCGGAGACACGAGATATGTTCCTTTGCATGCACGTACGCATAAATATGTACAAAAACCATACAGAGAGAAACGTTTAAAAGTTAGTAGGATATACGCAGCAAGTATCGAACGGATATTTTTAGTTGATCGACCGCGGATAGTCGAACACACCGATTGTCCACGAAACGTTTCGGTCCCGGCGAAGCTTACGATTAACGCATTTCTTACCAGTATCTGGGACTTTTGCACGATCCGACCGAGCAATTCGTGAAAATTCATTCGGGGATCGGGAATATTTGGTGAGCGATACGTTAGCGACGAAGCTTTCGGTAGGTCTGAACACGCAACAGACAGACAATAAAGAAGATGCAAGTATCAAAAGAAACAAAAAGAGGGTTGCGCGAATTCTTTACCAAGACTTGTCACTTTTAGCGTCGAATATCATTTACGAGCCGTCGATTACTCGTTGCTACACCAAAAACTGCGGACTAAAGCTGCTGTAAACGTGTAAAGGGGACGATTCAGTCCTCTCGAAGAGAAATCAAACAATATACTAAATTTGTATACACTTCGCAGGCTGTTTTCCGTGACTGGTCTGAATATTTTACTATGAAAAGAGCCTGATAGGACTCTTGACGTAATATATTATTACGTGAAATATCTAAAAGCACGGTGGACCAAAATCATTTTCAGTAAATTATCGCTCGACGACAGACGTTACTTTCGCTTTAGTTCTCGTACAGAGGGTTTACGAAATGCTTGGCCAAAGCTTTTGAGCTTGTCGAAATCGTATTCGGTATATAAACTTGAAAATTTTGGATATTTAGTTGTTTATACAAACATTGAGATTTAAAGATTTTCAGAAATGAGAACTACTTCCACTGACACGTACCTAAGAAGACTAGTTCATGAAGTTGATTAACATATTCAATATTTTCAGAAAAAAAAACAATTCTTCTGTGCAAGTTTATAAATATATGCGTCAAGTGCAATTGAGAGACAGTTGATGCTTTCCAGCTGTCCTCGAGTCAACAGGAAACACAATTATACCCACTTGTATTCGTACACTATAATGGTGATTTATTATAAATGAAAACAAACTTGTTCCTTATGAATTCACTTTTTGTAACTGGTATAAGTTTAAATTAAACATAAATCTTGTCAACGGTCGTGCCTCGTTGGACACACTGATTCTCGTTCGGTCATCAAAATGCAGCATCATTGGGCTGCGTGCAGTTAGAAGATGGGTGACCGCTTGAGAAAAAAAAGGAATTGTTGATTTGTTTATTGTTTACAGGATTGTATACTGTTTATATTATACATTTCTACGGATTTTGTAATTGGGGTTTAGTTAATTTAAAAAAACTACTTCGTAAATAAAATAAAAATAATACAGTTGTAATAAAACAAAACAACACCGATTCTTGTCTGATCACTGAAGTGAAGCAACGTTGGGCGCGATTAAAAAATAGTACTTGGAGGGGGGGAGGAGAATATCTTGGCATTATAATTGTATACTGTTTATAATTATACCTCTCTTAATAAAACAAAACTACTTCGTAAATAGAAGCACAATACACAGTGTAATAATTGCTAAAAATAAATGGAAAGAATTCACAAGAAACAAAGTTTCTTTTCATTTGCAGCGAACGAATTTGTACGAATACGAGTGGGAGTAAACTGTATACAAATTAGATTATTATAAATTAAGAACAATCTAGTTTCGTGGCTCTGAAGGTTCGGTCAAACATTTGTGGAAACCCTCGAGTACAAGTAGTTGACATAAAATTAAGTTAGTCGGATCAAACTCACTAAAATTCTAAATACAAGGACCACTAATATTTATGGCGTACGAGATCGCGTAAAAATGTGCGAGTGTGTTTGACGAGTTACTGTATTTAATTCAACTCGTAGCAACGAGTGATCGCCGCGCGACAGGATACGGGGGAAAGTGACGTTCTTTGTTTCAGACCTCGGTTAATTAATTAGTTGTTTACACCGGTTCTGTTGTTCACGCGCCTCTTATCAACGATGTTACATCAAAGCTAATCAAAAGCTCGCGACAGGATCGTGTCGACGGGTCTCTCTCCTCGTACGCAGTAAAATTCAAAAGTCTCGCCTCCTTCCACGGAACGACAAATAAGCGAAAGGCGCGTATTCAAGGAAAGACCAAAAAGAAAAAAATTAGAACAAAAAAAACGTTGTCTCGTATTCGTAGATTTCCGGTTTTTGATCGGTGGCGAAAGACATATCACGGACGACGATTTTTTTGACGATCGACGAGGAAGCTCTTTCGGCGGGGAAGGAAACAAATAAATAAACGGGAGAGTTTAGAGCGAAGCGAGTGTCGAGGCATTCGCGAAGAGAAACGGGCAAACGGCTGGCATCGCTATATACAAAATGGGACCGTTTAAAGATAAGATAATTTCTAATTTTATCGCTCGATTCCTTCGCCCAAATCGCGACAGCCGCGTCGGCGAAATGTGATTTCGTCCAGCGGCTGCCGTCTAGCGAGATCGATCGCAGAGAGGTCGATTCGAAGCTAACGGGGGGGGGAAGCATTTTTCTCTTTTGATCGCGGCGCGTCGACGCGCCAACCAGGAGGTTGAATTTATAAAAAAAAACCAGTAAAGACTTACCTCAGTAATGTAATGTACGCAAGAATCAAACGTCTTTATGATCGAGAGTACGTATATATACTGTAGCGCTGATCGTCCTTTGTATATTTTCCGTATTGTAAATAACTTATACATACGCCTTACCGGTAATTATTGCTGTACGATAACCGTCGACGTGCGCATTATTTAATATTTATGCGAATATTGGAACGAGGTTTCAGCCGCGAGCTCGCAGAAAAAGCGACGCGCGTCGAGGATCCATTTTCTTTGTTTTGTCGATCATTTTGTAGAGGCCAGAAATGGATTGTACAACTCTCATTCCTCAATTTTGTACATATATATATATATATATATATATATATATATATATTCGATTATCGGTTGTGTGTGACATTTGATTATTTATTAGTACCTTGAGTCGGTTAGAATAGCACGTAGCTCTGTTTTTATATGTGAAATTTTGTCTTACGTACTTTTCGTTAGCTGATCTTTTATTAATTTCTATTAATGGTCGTTCGACCTGTGTTTTTCATTTAAGAAAGTATATTTTATCGTGAATAAACGAGGTGGCAAATTTATTATTGGGATGAAATTGATTTTTTTTTTTTATTTACATTAAAAATAGAATAAAAATCGACATGCGTTGCTTTTTCTCGAAACGAGTCAAGCGACGAATCGATAAACACAGAGAGTTGCGTGCACGTGAACACGAGCAGTAACAAAAGGAGGCCTATGTTAATCGACACTCTCTGTATCGTTTCTTCTACTTCTTTTTTTTTCTTTTTCGACGGGCGGACGAGTACGATAAATTAGCGACTAAAGATAGTTAATGCGTTTAACCAGGGGGGGGGGGGGGAAACAAATTTTTTGGAGAACTATATACCGATAGTTATCGAAGTGTGACTGAGACAGCACGAGTTTCTTCGGCAAATATTTATTACTATTATTATTTATCGAAAGAAAAAGAATGTAGTTATATTTAACGGAGCGTTTCGTTCGCTTGTTATGTTTTGAAAGAGATATAAAAAAAAAAGAAAGAAGCGCGGGGCGACTTTTGTTCATTGTCGCGATATGTACAGTGTGTGTGAATGCGTGTGCGTGCCAGAAAGTAAGAAAGCAAGAGAGAGAGAGAGAAAGAGAACGTGCAAGAGTGAAAGAGAACTCAGATAAAAAATACATAGATTGAGAGAGAGAGAGAGAGAGAGAGAGAGAGAACGAGAGGCGGATGAGAAAAATATAACGAAAATGCAAATTTCGGGGAACGAATATAGTTTAAGGAGGCACCAAAAAAGAAAACTGATTAACTCCGTAGGACAAACAATTTAACCGTGATCACAATTACCGAGTCAACAAATTTAGGAAACAGCGACGAATGCACTTCTTGGTGTACAATATGAATATTAATGCAGATAATAGCTATACATATTATTATATCAATTGTCAGTGGTATTACAATAAGAGATGATAATTTTATATTTACAAGATAGAAAAATCGTTGAATCTAAATGAGTGTAATATACGTCTGTACTATGAAAAAAGAACACAACACCCCCACATGCATACAGATACTCTCCACTCGTAAACACCCTTTGCGCCCCACTCCTCACATACCCCCACTCTTCACGATCCCCAAAATTCCATGCTAGGACAAAAACTAGGGAAGCTAGCTTATTTAATATTTGGCATAATATTTATATATATATATATATGTAATATATTATATTATATTTAAGATATAATATAATAATATTATATATTATATATACGACTATAAATATGATTATAAATATGAATATAAATGCAAATATAAATATATATATATATATATAAATATATATATACATGAGAGATAGAGCATAAAGTAAACAAAAAAAAAAATGAAATAGGCTCGGTGCGGCAATATTTGCACGACCGAGAAAAAGTATGAAGCTATGTGATCCACTACTACTAGTAGCTTTTAGCTGTAAAGACTTATACTTTATTTTGTAAATTTTGTTTATACAATGTTTGATCGTTCACGCATAATACTATTGTATGTGAAAATAAGTTAATAAATCATTAACATGTGAAGTTACACAACGTGGGACTCATTGTGTTTTCCCTCTTTGTAAATACGTAGATGTAAAATTTTAACTATTTTTAGTTTATAATACATATACGCATGAAGTTTCGAGGAAAAATTTCCGGCCACATATTATATTTTTGGTAAAGAATTTTTTTCTCGAAAATGCGGAGGATTTCGGGGGTGTGTCTATTAACCAAAAATGATTGTAATTGACCCCTGCAACCGACAATATTTTTTCCAGGACGATTTGAACAAATTTTTTTTCTCCGAAAAATTTAGGCACTGTCGATTTTTCTTAAAAATTCATTTTTGATTTATAATAAATTTGTTTGACGCCGTACGGAAAAGTTGTTTAGTACTTTTTTGTAGGTATCCATGAGCTCTACTTCCAGACTAAATTTCAATGAGATCCATTGACTCTTGTAGGAGTTATGGCCGTTTGAAAATTGGACAATTTTTATGGGGTTTTTATAACTTTACGGGGTTAAGGAGCAACATTCCGAATAGTTTTAGAATTCCTACATACTCTTCACCAAAATATGCATCGTTTGCATTTTGAAACATTAAAATCGTCCAATCCGTTCAGAAGTTATGATGTTTTAAACATACGCATGAAATTTCAGAGAAAAATGTGATATATGGTCAGACATTGTATTTTCGGTAAAGAATTTTTTTCTCGAAAATGCGTAGGATTTCGGGGGTATGTCTATTCATAAAAAATGATTGTAATCGACCCCCACAACTAAAAATAATTTTTTCAGAATGATTTGAAATTTTTTAATTTCACTAAAAATTTCTGCATCTTTCCCCTACCGATTTTTCTTAAAAATTCGTTTTTAATTTTTCATACATTTGTTTGACGTTCTACTCAAATGTTGTTTAATACTATTCTGTAGGTATTCAATCACCTCAGGTCGGTATAGCAGTCAGATTGGGCCACGAAAGGGTGTAAGGTCTACTCGTATACCTCGTCTGTGACAATATTCTAGAATCTTTGATGAATCAATGAAAATCAAAATTAACCTAGTGAAGAAGCTCTATATTTATGATGACCTATGCAAGGCGGATCGCAGCCAATTTGCTAATATTATTTAATTTTTAATTAATAATTGCATTACCCAGCTAAGTGTGACACGATTATTAATTAAACCCTAAATAATATTACCCAGGTCTCACCACGTGGAGGTTGCTGCGAATGGAGACCCGCCCTAACCGAATCCCAACCACCCTCCATTAATAAAAATTTTGTATGACCAACGATCGCAGATCGTTTGGTCGAAGAAACAATAAACTAAAGTGCAACCAACGAAGAAGAAGAGTTTTCAAAAGAATTTGCCGGATAGAGGCTCACCAACAACGAGACACAAAAGTCAATCAAATATATACATATAAAACGAGATTCACATTCAAACAAAATTAACCTTCCTAACACAATGGCTAATGCAGACAATCAAACACACTGTGAAGTGGTCAAATTCATTCTCATCTTACCTATTTAATTAGTCAACAAAATAAATGAAAATATGGTCTCCCTCGTTGTTTCTACCTGAAACATACTATCAGAGTCTACCGAACCATAAATCTAAATTCATTTACATCCTACCAATCTAATTATTGATGATTTTTTGAAAAATAAACTGAACAATCTGAAACAAAATATATGAAAATATATACATATATACGTATATATATATTCTTCATTCTTGTTTCTTCAATTTATCCCACGATGATTTTCTGAAACATAAACGCAGGGTCCTGGCACCTAATCCTGTTAGTGTGATTAGTCTTCCCACATAACAGTTTGTATGACTTTACAAAATTTGTATCCATTATACCTTTGATATTTTCTTTTCTTTATATATATTATATCTTTATATATATTATGTATGTATATCTTTAACACTGTACAGCATAATGTATCTCATCTAAAATTCGATAAAAACAATCTCAATAAAGTTCACTAAAGAGATTTGTAATAATCGGTGGTATTAGACTCATTCCACAAACCAGGACAAACTGTAGACCTTTAGTAGAATAGGTATGTCGTTTCTAAGCTCGTAACGAATGTTTTACATTACCAGCAGAATAGTCTACATTACCCAGTAAGTGTTCTACGGCGCCAGCAGACTACTCTACATCAGCCAGTAAGTATTCTACGGTGCCAGCAGAGTACTCTACATTGCCAACTAAAAATAGTCTGCATTACCTACAGGATACTTCACCACAACCCCTCACATCATAGATTGAAGACGTACATCCCCGCGTCCCAACCACCCCTTCGTCCTCAGTTTAGAAGTCTAACTGCTCGATTATAATTCTAGAAGAACTTAAAAATATAATAAAAAATGTAAGGAAATCAATAATATACGTTCGAGTTATTATAAAGTAATTTCTTCAAGGTATATGAAACAACAAAATACAAAATATGTTGTAAATTATTACGTTTATATTATAGTAAAGATTTCCTACGAAAAGGCCAAACGATAAGTCTCCAAGACTATTTTTTTTAGTCCCCACAAAATTGGGAAAAGTCACCGAACTCTGAAACTACGAGAAACTCGTTATTCGCTGAATCACTAGGCGGACTTTCTGGTATTTCGCGAGTAGCCCTATCGAAAACTTTTGAAGGAAGTTGCTCGCAACCGATACCCCGCGTTCGACTGCACCTGAATACCCTGGTATTATCCAGCAGCGCAGGGATATGCGTACGTTACGAACGATCGATAGTTCGCTCATCCGTCGCTAAAAGGGTTAATGATGCCTGGCGTGCATAAATGGCGCTCACGGACCCGGACAAATGAAACGTAATGAGCGGATCGGTAGTACATAGCGGCGTGTCACGATCGCGAAACTCGTAATAATGCTGTACCGTGATCGTGAATTTGCGCGTGCCATACTGTGGAACGCGTGAATTCGAACAATACGATTAGCGACGCCATCGGTTCGCCCCGACCTCGTACCAGCTTCATTCGAGCCATCGGATCGGAACCTTTTTTTTCTCCTCTGCTATTTAAGCGGAACGAAAGCCGCTCGTTCGTTACGGATTCCCCGTGGACGAACCATGTTTTGTAAATATACTTTGTCGAAGGCCTAGCCGTAGCAAGCGTGTGTTCGATAGAAGAGTTTCCGCCATAATCATCCCCTTCGGTGCACCTACAATGAATTCAATGCTTTCAGAATCGTTTATTATAATTATTATTCTCATTACTAAGCGTCTTTGTTACGCGTAAGAATGGCGAGGTTCGCTTATTGATACGAGAAACGAAATTAGCAAACGAAAGACGATTCAAGTTTAACGTTCAACGTCTCGAGTCGGATTAATTATAAAATCTGAGGGTTAATTTAAGACCAAATTGGAGAAAATGAATTTACGCAAGAAAAACAGAAGCAAATGATGCATTAAATAGTTTGTACTTTGATATGCAACTATCAAATCGGGCGATAATTGAAATGATTTTAGCCAACGAAGGTGCATTTTTGTATTTTTAAGAAATTTAAAAGAATTGGATGTGAAAGCATCAGAGCTAAAAAATTTGATTTTATTTTATTTTAAATCTTGCGCGTAATTATGAAAATATAATATTTTATTTGTCGCGATAAGTGTGTTATTATTAACACATAGTAATGAAATTTTACTATTTTTAGTGGTGAATCCAATCTAGATCAAAATGTTAATGGTCGTAATTGATACCACGAATTCTCCCAATACAATTACTCGTTAACCGAGCCATTGCCATTGATGTTACCGACTGTAACTTGAATGTAGGATATTTACTGAAAATTAATGCTATTGATGGTTTCCACATTGGGATCGCTAAAGTGTCTGTAAACAACAATGGCGTGTACCATGTTCTCGTTATTAACATATCGGAAACAAATATTAATATGAAAATTTCATATCAAAATGAGTATTTTGATTTGTATTTACGCGAAAAAGAATTCATCGGTTATGTTAGATAGAGTTGTTGAAATTATTATCCTTTGGTTGGTGACGTCGTGACGTATTTTAAACAAAAGTTACTTTGTTTTATCGCGACGAAGAGTATGCAATATTCAGTCCTCGTAAGAATTCGCGCATACATTCTTCAGGTTATCCAAACATGCAAGATTTCTGCATTCGTTGCATAAATATGAAGGTTTATAACACGTTATACTTGTACCAATATCTAATGAAAGGATTTGCTATGCCAGGCAAAATCGATGCAGCTGGATTATCGAAAACATTTGTTGGTCTGAGTCATAAATCAAGTAGACTTACTTTAGTAAGTCTTAACAAACGATGGCCAAATACAGAACACGCCAGAAACGATAAACAATGCTTTTTCCTCAAATTATACCGTTCTTTCTATTAAATTAAGACATCTAAGACAAAATGCAAATTAATTCTCGAACTAATATTCTAAACAATACTCTGATTGTAGTACAAGGCATTATTTACGTTGAAACTTGAAATTATTTACATGATTTCCTATATAATTCTCTATAGAGGGATGAAAAGATACTACGGACTTAATCTAAAGTAACATCTACACCGAGACAGCTCATTTCACAATTACAAACTTCAAAACCCTGAGGCACTCAAATAACTAAAGAGATACTTTCAGAAGTAGAAT